TTGGGATGGCCCTGGTTCCTCTGAACCATAAGGTGGTACTGAAGAAGTTGTGTCAGGCTGTGGATGTGGGAAGGTGCTGAGTGTCCTCTTAATAACACGTGGAGCTTGGCCACGCTCAGCACTTTGCAGGATTGAGCCTTCCAGGATTTGAGTCTGGTGGGAGAAGGAGCAAATCGTGGCATTAGGTGGGGGCTGTGGTGCCGGGGCAGAGGAGCCTGGAGCGGGCAGGGAGACTTCTTTCTCGGGCCCCCCGCTCTTGCCGTGCTCTCTCCTGGAGTCGTCTCTGGGGGCTCATGGGGGCAAAGCGCTGGACTTAGGAGGAGCCGCTGAAGCCAAAATCAGTGAAATGGAAAGCCTGTGTGGCGCAGACCTGCCAGCTCTCGCATTCTTGGCTGATAAAGCACCGCATTTGTCTCCATAAACCTGCTGGAGGAATGATGCCTGTGTAGCTTTTGACAGTGATGAGTTGCTGGTGTGCCGGGGCTCCCTCGCTGCGGCGCGATGAGCTCCTCTCCCTCCTCTGCCCCCTCCAGTCCGCCAAACTCTGAGTTGGTTTGGGCAGGAACCCTCCCTCCCTTTTGCTTTGGTTTGCTTGCAAAATTGGAATGTAGTGGGCTTAGGCACCAGGACAATGTAAAAATAGCATTGTTTGTAGTAATGGTCATGATGGGGTTTTGTCCTTCTGGTGAAGAAGTGTCCGGCTTTCCCAAGCAGCACGTGCCAGTCTTGCACCCAACTGTTTTTTTACGGGCACACCTTGTAGCATGTGCAGACTGGGTTTATGTGCATAGCTTGGGATTGCAATCAAACCTGAAGATGGAAGGTTTAGATAGGAGTTTGACAAGCTGGATTCAGAGTAAAGTTAACCCCGCACTGAAAGGACCCAGTCACTAAATCCCTGATGGACCCTTGCCGTGTATTGAGCCTCACCAGAGGTATCCCTAATGCCAAGAACTTACATCTCCAAGCTAGCTCCCAAAACCCAACGTTATTTCACTCAAGTTCTTGAAGACGCAGTTTTGCACGCGTATGTTTGTACAGAAGCAATTCAGCAATTTTCTGTAGATGCTGCCTTAGGTTCTGACTTCTGCTGGAAAATACGTGTGCTGGGAGAGATTTCCTGAAACTGCAATTTTGATAGAAAACATACTTCTCCTAAAAATAAAGTTTATGGAATTCCTGGCATATTTTCCATTTGACAATTTGCATTAATTCATAAAGGTAAATAGACTTATCGTTTCAACAAAAAAAAATACCTTTGATGACTCCTGCAGGCAAAATGAGTGGAATGTGATATGGATGGAAAATCCTCTTATCTGCAGGAAACAACTATTGCCCCGCAGATAAAATCGGTAATGCTGATTATTTTGTTGTTTCAGGAGGACAAAAAATGTTTCATATGTGACTCCGAGGATCCTTTCCACGATACTCTCAATCCTGACAGTCATCGCATTGAAAATGTTGTCACCACGTTTGCTCCCAATCGCCTGAAGCTCTGGTGGCAGTCAGAAAATGGTACGGGGTTTGTCTGTGAGCCGTCTCCAGGGCTGGGAGCTGCTTTCCCTCCTTTGCTTTAAGGGTACCTGCAGGTTTGCTGTTCTCCCTGGCCTGGTGATTACTGCTGTGGGAAGGAGCGTGCTGTTCGTGGGAAGGATCACGCTGTTGGAGGAGGGCTGAGTAAAACTGGCTGCTTTTGTGTGCCCTGGAGCGGTCCTTAATCCATAAGGAAGCCCTGTCAGCTCGTGGGGAGCGTTGGAAAGAGCCAACCCACCCCTTCGCAAGAATCCTTTTCTAAAGAGAAGTTTCCCACACTGGCTCCAGTTCTCCCTCATGTTTGGGCAGCAGGAACGGAGCAGCCTTCCAGGAGTAAATATCCCAACGCGGCGCTGCCAAGGAAGCACCGCAGGGCTTCCCCGCGCCGCTGGGCTGGAGGGAGGCTGTGGGAGGAGGAGGTTTGGGTGCAGAGCGGGGGGCCCTCCCGCTTCCCTGCCCTCCTGCTGGGGGGGGGACATCTATCCTACAAACTGCCTCCCCCCTCCTGGGCTCCCTGAATTCCTGCATCCATATGCTAAACACTAAAATGAACATCAGAAACAAGCCAGCTAGTTTAAAAAAAAAAAAGTTGCATGTTAGTTTGGTGGCTTTTTT